GTCCACGTGACTGATCTCACGGCATACCTGAGTGGTCCACGCGACTGAGCTCACGGCATACCTGAGCGGTCCACGCGACTGAGCTCACGGCACACCTGAGCGGTCCACGCGACTGAGCTCACAGCACACCTGAGCGGTCCACGTGACTGAGCTTGCAGCACACCTGAGCGGTCCACGCGACTGATCTCACGGCACACCTGAGTGGTCCACGCGGCTGAGCTCACGGCACACCTGAGCGGTCCACGCGACTGAGCTCACGGCACACCTGAGCGGTCCACGCGACTGAGCTCACGGCACACCTGAGCAGTCCACGCGACTGAGCTCACGGCACATCTGAGCGGTCCACGCGACTGAGCTCACGGCACACCTGAACGGTCCACACGACTGAGGTCACGGCACACCTGAGCGGTCCACGCGATTGAGCTCACGGCACACCTGAGCGGTCCACGCGACTGAGCTCACGGCACATCTGAGCGGTCCACGCGACTGAGCTCACGGCACATCTGAGCGGTCCACGCGACTGAGCTCACGGCACATCTGAGCGGTCCACGCGATTGAGCTCACGGCACACCTGAGCGGTCCACGCGACTGAACTCACGGCACATCTGAGCGGTCCACGCGACTGAGCTCACGGCACATCTGAGCGGTCCACGCGACTGAACTCACGGCACATCTGAGCGGTCCACGCGACTGAACTCACGGCACACCTGAGCGGTCCACGCGACTGAGCTCACGGCACATCTGAGCGGTCCACGCGACTGAACTCACGGCACACCTGAGCGGTCCACACGACTGAGCTCACGGCACACCTGAGCGGTCCACGCGACTGAGCTCACGGCACATCTGAGCGGTCCACGCGACTGAGGTGCTTGACGTTTATGAGAGCCACGGGCGAGACGATCCTGATGACACGTGGCACAGTTGCCGAGCGTCAGAGCTAGACACTACTGGCATATCTGGGGTAGTTATCAATACAGCTATCGCGGACCGCGTCACCGCCTCCGACCGATCCGGGCATCTGCGTCCCTATCGGTCACAAGGCACCTGTCCGGGCGTGCAGGCAATACGACGCCCGGAGATCCTTACACCATAGCTTACCGCCGCGGCACTGGGCGCTGATCTGTCCATCTCTCTTATATGCGAGTGTGTCAGCCATGAGTGGCGAATAAACACAACGTTGATGGAACGCAACAGGGTGGTTCTGTGTCAGTTCGCGCAGTATCACCTTCCATCAGCTTCAAAGCAATGATTTCAGGAAAGTTACGGTCGCAGGCGGACCCTGGTCATTGGATGCTTGACCGTATGGAACGTTCCAAGGAAAGGAACGGCGAACCGGAAAGCTTTCATTGAGATTGCCCCGTTCACATTCCGGGCAAGACGACTCTAAACATTACCTTTATGGATCCTTTGGTAGGGTCGGGAAGTCCAAACCCCAAGGCATCAGCAAACTTAAAACGTGGGCGGTTCGAGGTTTAAAGTGGATGCGTCCGAGAGAATCCAGGGGCCCGACACAAAATGCCACATGGGCGGGCTATTCGGCTAAAGCTTTAAAAGGAAACTTGATTTTCTCCACTAAACGCATGCTTATAAATGACGCACGCAAAACTAGACTAATTTTCTTCACAGACTGGCGTTGGTTCTCGTTGACCGTCATGGTGTAGCGCAGCTTGACAAGAAACAGGGTTCGTCCGAACTCGAGGGCATGTCAGATGGGATGAGTGGGATTCTTGGAACGACGCACCGAAGTTGGTCTTGAAGCGCCTTGGGCCACCCGCGGGAACTCTCAAAGCAGCAAGGCGTACGAGACTCCCCGTTCGCACGTACGAGAGACTCCCCGTTCCACACCAGCGACTGTTCGCAGACCCGGAGAGCGAAAGGTGGCAGGGGGTTCTGTGGATGCGGATCTTGTCGGACGCATCCCGCAGGAACTGGAGGCTCATGTTCAACGCCAGTTGATAACGTCCGCGCCCAGTCACCATGCAAGTACGCGCCCAGGATCAGGGCAATGGCGTCAGCGATGACGAAGTCCTAATCATGATATGGTCCTCCGTCCAGTTAGACGGCCTGCCGGTACTGGCCAAATGTCTTCACTGCCCTTTTGCTTGCAGCCTCCAACCGGGAAAGCTGCGTAGACGTCACGTCAGAGCCGGGCAGTAGAATAGCAAGCGGCAGCTCGCTAACAGTGCCCAGGCGAGCTGGCTATCTTCCACGAATAACAAGAGCGCCAGCGGTGGTTACGGGCGCAAGTGGCGTCAGCCAGCGCGTTTACCGCATCCGACCTCCGCGGGCAAAGGCTGACACAGCGACAGGCTTCTGCCCGAAGCGTCTGTGTCAGTAACAGACACTGTCCTCCCTGGCAGAAGACGGCGCTGTCTGGATGTGAGACGTGACGAGGGCGATGTCTGGACGTGAGACGTGACGACGGCGCTGTCTGAACGTGAGACGTGACGAGGGCGCTGTCTGGACGTGAGACGTGACGACGGCGCTGTCTGGACGTGAAACGTGACGACGGCGCTGTCTGGACGTGAGACGTGACGACGGCGCTGTCTGGACGTGAGACGTGACGACGGCTCCAGCCCCGTCAGCCTCGGCCCGCTGCGGTCGGCTGATAGCCTCTTCTAACCGACGGTTTGGCGTCCTCAGTCGGCTAATCACAATTGTCAGACTGACGATGGCGGCTCGCAGAACCTGCCGATCGGTGGACGGCTGCGTGTTGACTGCGCTTGCAGCTCGGATTTCGATAGGACGGCGATGGCGGCCGGAGGCTGCGAGGCCTTGAGGAATCGGTCCGCCTGGACCAGATCGCCCATGGATGTGGATTCTGGGAGCAGAGATGGAGCTGCCTGAGCTGTCTGGGGAAGCCGCTACAGAGAAAGCGTACGCAGGGGGTCACTGCCAGCTGGGGAATCGCTGGCGGTCAACAGACCACGCCTACTGGCCAGCAGCTGATAAGCAGTCTGGCTTCCGAGCTGCTGGTGGGACAGGACAGCCCCCAGACGATGGCTCGGGGAATAGACAACCGCTGAAGTAGAGCCTCACAAAGAGCCGTGTGGTCTCGGATTGGCCCAGTGATGACTCGCTGACCTGCGTGGCAACATGCAGGGGAAGGACAGAGAGCAGTAGCTTGAAGGCAGAATCGTCGGTGCTGGTCCCGACCAAATTGCGTTTAGCCTGAACCAACCAAACATCGGTTTCCTCGGTCGCGTCGGGGGGCAGGACGAACGCTAGTGGAGCCGTGATCCATGGCGAGACTGAAATTGAGCCGGGAGTCCCGTCGTCTGGTGAGTTGTTCGCTTCCGTATATAATGATTTTTTCGGCTCATTTCTAGTCGTGTTATAGATCATGAGTTATAAATGCCGCAAATCATCTTCGGCAACGACGAGAATAGGGGCAGCAGTTGTCGTGATAATTGTCTTCAGCTGACAGTCCAGGGTCCGTGAAGAGCAGCACCAGTACCATAAAGTGCATCTCCGGACCTGTCATGTCAACTGGCTAGCTGCAGCCGATCGCCCGGGACCTAGCGCTGCTGCGTTCGCAGTACTGATCCAGCTGAAAACATCGGTGTCAATACCGTTTTACAGTAAGCGAAACGTGAAATACAGAACACAGAACGGTGATATGCATAACACACACTGTTGTCCAGCGACACTGTCCGTCGCATCGTAGGCGCTCCCTGGTGCCGTTACAACACCATTCAATTGATTTTTGTAGGTGCCACTGGCCACTATTTCGTTTTTTTTTTGGTCGCAGAGGCACTGCCAGAATTAGCAAGCTCAAACGCGACAAGCTGATGGGCTTACATGTAGGTATGGGTGTGGGTATAGGCATTGGTATGGGATTGGGTATGGGTATGGGTATGACGGGTATGGCGGGTATGGCAGAGCCATAACCCCCTCGAGTAACGGTGTTTAGGTCAGCACCAGTTAATGTTTTGTATACCCGTAAGGTGGAGCGGCCGTGTCGCGGTCGTGCTCTACCACTAAGTTCATCCTTGGGAGACTTGGCGTTCATGGTTTCTTCTTTTGGCGACGCTGCACGCTGTCGCTAAATGCCGTCTTTGTGACAGGTGTGTACTTCTTTTTCCAATCTGCTAATTTAAAGATCCTGTATCTTACATTTTCGAACATTTTCCATGCTATAATTTTCAAATATCATTTCGGGTATCACCCCATATGTCTCTTTGCGAATGGCAGATTCGCTATCGCTTAATGCGCGGCAACCCAATTTCTGATCGACCGTCAATGCGTATGAATTGGTCATTTTGCGGCAAAGTCTACCCAGTAATTCATAATTTCCCACATTTGTCATGGATGGCACTGAATAGCCTGAGCATTGCTCTGTTTAACGGCATGGATCGGCCCCAACCCGCAGGCCTCTGAATTCTGGACCGCTCCTCGTTTTGAGAACGATTTTCAGCCTTGCATACCCTAAATGTGATGAGCATCTGTTTCACCAATGGCGGGGGGAGCGGGGGGGGGGGGGGGGCGGCTGGGGTATGCGATCTTGACCAATAGCCGTTGGATGAGGGTTTATCGGATGGACTCTAACCACCGACTGCTTGCCAGTGGTTCAGTTGAATGAGCCGCTGGAGTATTTTTGAAAACGCCCGTATGAACTACCTACGAGCCTCTTGCAGTGCTTGCGCGAAGACTATTTAGACCGATAAGAAAGTCGACGAGAAGAAACCTTTTACCATGGATCAGTAGTGCCCAAAACTATTATTCGTCCTTCGTGGAAAATTAAAGTATTCATCCTTCGTGGATTGTTCTTCCTGCTGCGTGGAATGCACCCATAGCGAGGGAATCGATTCTAAGCCCTAGAGGCTTGCATGAACCGCTTTACACTGACCGTCGACGTTCATAGCCACAAGCAGGCGAGGCACAATGGCTGAGGAGGCCTGCCCGCGAATCTGCTTGTCTGCAGTCACCAGCTCAGTCTGCTTGTCTGCAGTCACCAGCTCAGAGCACGACAACACTAGGTGATAGTCAAATCAACGTACCTTTAACCGGCGCGCTCCGTCGGCTCAGTCCATTCGTTCACTAGCTGTACGCCGTCTCCTGAAACAGCCGGCAATGCCCGGTCACAACCACCTCCACTCCGATCCTAGGCGACCGGCCGGCGAACGTACACTGGCTCGTGTGCAGCGGACCTGACGCCCGCCACCCGCGACATTCGCCAGCCGTCCACGTGGGCTCCGGCCGATGTAACGCCAAAGGTGATAACCTTGGCCTTCGGCTGGCAGCGAGCGACACGTGCGCTGTTTACACCCCGCCGATGGGCCTTAGTGGGGGGGGGGGGGCGCTGGAGCCTGATTGCCGATGGGCCTTAAGGGGGGGGGGGGCGCTAGAACCTGATTGCCGATGGGCCGGGAGCCGTGATCAGATGGATAGAAAACGCTGCACTGGGACAATTGTGGATGGCAAATTACGAGAGCGTTAAGAACTTAACGAATAGCCGAACACCAGGAGCGTGGCATGTCAAGAAACGTGGCAGGGGCAGCGCTTTCAGGAGACTTTTCAAGTAAGCACGTCCCTACTGCATTGCTCTCAGAGCGATCAGGACCGGCGCCATACCGTTGATCCCGTTGCAGACGGCGGTTCGGGTTGTCACCTTCAGGACGAAGCGACACAAATTTTCTCGGTGGAGCCTGATGAGCTCGGCTGGGATGTTGTCGCGTTCAGGTTGAAGACCTACTCAGTCGAAAGCGACCGTCGGTCCTCTCGTCACTGAAATAAATTCACCTTGTTTTAATATTAACACAGACGCTGTAGGAGACGAGCACGCGGCAGTCGTACCTCATTTATAGTAGCGTTTCGTTGAGGTATTCGAATGCATCTTGAGTGTGAGACTTCATTTTTCCATGCGAAGTTGCGGTGGAGGTGTTTTATAATGTCCACAGTTCATAATGTCCACATAGTAGTTCAGCCTGCGTCCGCCAGGGTAAAAAGTTTCGCCCCTATGGAAGAGACGCGTCGCTAAGCGCCGTGTCGTCGTTCCCCCTATTTGGCATGTAGTCCAGCATCCTATTGCAAAGTGAATCTCCCTCGGCCCCCAGAAGCCCTCTAGCGCGGCCTCTGAAAGCCCGACTCCGAATAAATTGACTGAACGACTCTGAATAAGAGGCCTGAAACAAAACCGACTGAAATTAAGCCTACTTTGCGTATGACGGATGAAAACCAGTTACGCAGGAGTAAGCGCGATTTCACCTGGGTCTTGCATGAGACCGACAGCCGGGTCCACGGCCATGCTGGGGCAGTCGTATGGCAGGCGGCGTATGAGACCGACAGCCGTGTCCACGGCCGTGCTGGGGCAGTCGTATGGCAGGCGGTGCATGAGACCGATAGCCGTGTCCACGGCCATGCTGGGGCGGTCGTGTGACAGGCGGTGTATGAGACCGACAGCCGTGTCCACGGCCATGCTGGGGCAGTCGTATGGCAGGCGGTGTATGAGACCGACAGCCGTGTCTACGGCCATGCTGGGGCGGTCGTATGGCAGGCGGTGTATGAGACCGACAGCCGTGTCTACGGCCATGCTGGGGCAGTCGTGTGGCAGGCGGTGCATGAGACCGACAGCCGTGTCAACGGCCATGCTGGGGCAGTCGTGTGGCAGGCGGTGCAGGGCAGAATGAGCGCGCAAAAAGGGTGGGGTCAGGCCGAATATGTGTCGGCATCTAACCGCTCATTCATCAGGGGAGATCTGAGTCATGGTAGCTGCACCATGTGTTCGATGCGGATTAAGAAGGCATGGCTTAAAAACTATGGGAATAGACATGTTCAGCGAGGCTGATGCAGCGTGTAGTTGGAGCAGGATGTACTGTGTGGTCATTAAACATGCGAAAAAGCTGCACATAAACCACTTCACACTGACTGAAGGGTCGGCAGCATTCACCCGGCCCTTGTCCCCATAGTCATACTGCATCGGTTGTCCCCATGCTTTATACGTCTCGCTCCGACGAGGAGCCAAATTTATGCACACATTTTTGGGGTGTGTTGCCAGCAATGGCTGCATTAATACACGCAATGGCAGCAACAGGTGTCATCTGTCCCTTCCCCAACCCCAATTCACAGAGCTATCATTGTAATCAGGAAGGCAACAAGATAGGCAGATTAAAAGCAAGGACCAACGTCGTTATCTGGTTAAAACTGGATGGATATCTGGGGTTTGTCAGAGATCATGTGAAATTTTGCTATTGAGCAAGAAACGATTGCAGGTGCCCATTGGCAGCAAAGTTGTAATTTTGTGCTGGAAACGCAATTATCTGCGTAGATGTGCGAGGATGTATTCAGAGGTTGACATGGGGGGGGGGGGGCAGGTGCGCAGCCATCGCCTTGATAAGGGATGGGCACTCAAGGCTGACAAAGGTCGCTGATGATTAGCCCCCCTGAAAAACTGTCTCGTCCATTTGATTCCGAGGCGACTTAGCTCTCTCCGCAAACTCTTTACTTTTAACTCCTTTGATCAGAACGAAAGCCAGGGAAGCTAGCGGAATGTGTCATTCTGTTGTTTTGGAGTGACTTACCTGAACGAAGCAGTCGTTAAATGCCTCTATGCAGTAAGGCACCGGCGCTATCAGGTTTACCGTGGTTAAGCGGACTCTTCCTAAACCGATAAAACCTAGAGGCTTGTCCAGAGAAATTTTATGGGTTCTAGATGGATACTGAGGACCCCATGAACAGTGGCTGTAAATGAAAATGAGGTAAAATTGCATCAATATGGCCGACGGATATTCATCAGAGAATGCTTAGCCTGCCGAGCCTGAGTCCATTACTGCAAAATTCTGACATAATTCTGAATATGCGCGCTCGCAAGTCCAGATTCAAGCGGCATGTGCGCTCGCAATTTCAGTTCAAGGGCCATTCCAACCCAGCACGGGGTGTGTATCGACCGCCATACTGGCGACACGTGGCGAGGTCTCCTGGTCGCTCCTAAGGCCCTGAGGAGGATGCATCATGCGTTGGATCCCTCCCTGATGCGGGAGGCCCTCTGATTGAATGGTGGACCTCCTTAGGCCCTGAGACGGATGCATCATGCGCTGGATCCCTCCCTGATGCGGGAGGCTCTTTGATTGGGTGGTGTCGCTCCTTAGGCCCTGAGGTGGATGCATCATGCGTTGGATCCCTCCCTGATGCGGGGGGCTCTCTGATTGGGTGGTGGACCTCAGATCTATCCAGGAGCCGTCATTGCTGCTACAAGATCAGTTATCGCCAGCCTAACATTTGGTACATATTTTGGGCCCCAACAAGTGCAAGAGACCCTCTGGCATTGGGGGTCCATTCCATGGCCATGTTCAGGAAATGCTCCCCTGCATGTCTCGGGACTTGTCACCGACAGAGGACCTCCTGTTAGGTATTGCGGTTTGCTAACGGACGTACGGCCACCGTAATTACAGGGACCCCGACATACAACGCTGGTATCTATGACCAAAACAGTAGCCCTTATTCTCCCGGGGTTCTCAATCGGTAAAAGAGGCCTTCTGACTGACATTTGAGGTTATGAGTCGGTACAGGTCAGTAACACAGTCCGTGACTGACATGGGCCCTTTGCCAACACAGGACCCCCTGTAAGGCACTCTGTTCTCCTGGCCGACACAGGGCCCCTCATTGACTCAGGGGCCCCGGCCAATGTTGATCGCGGGCTCCTGCCTTGTCTTTGCTTGGAAAATTCACCTTGGACCTAAACTGACACAGAGCCCACTGTTCGGTAGCGTTGGTGACTGACCGACATAGAGACCGTCATCGAGTGAAGGGGGCCTCCCCGATCAACGCAAAGGACCCTCTGACTGGCATTTGAGGGCCCGGCACGCAACGCTAGGATCCCAAATGCGACATCCGACTAAACTTTCGTGTCCTTACTCATTGGTCCCAAGGACTCATGTACCCCTCAGTACCTAAGCGGGGGGGGGGGGGGGGGGGGGCACGTGCTTTCAGTGGCCCTCCACGCTTGCCTATGCAACTGGAAGGGGCTAGGGGATCGCTCAACACAACTTCCATAGAAATTAGCTTAAATCGTACGTGGACGGCTTTTCCGAGGCGCTTATTTTTGGCGGACCAGACGCGTCTCGCTGAGTGTTTTTACATGATGTAATCAAACGATGGCGTATTGAAGAAGATGCTCACAAATCATGAAACTATGTTGTCTACAGCAGTCTTTTACACTTAAAAGCAAACAAATTGTTACAAGCGAGCTCATTTCATGATATAGCATGCTGGCTTAATAGCTTGAAATATAAAATATTTCCTTTAAAGGCAACAGACTGCCTCAGATAACAACATTTCACTACTTAGTTGACATGTTCCGCAAATAGATGCATCATCATTTGATGCATCATGATGACCGTAATATGTCATCCAATACGCGCAATCGTTTGGTCACGTCATGTGACGTTTGTATGGCATCAAGAGTCGCTGCCAGACTGACCGTATCAGCACTGCCGCTGTGGTGGACGGGTTGTCTCACTTGTAAGACTTCAATCTCCGCAATGTAGCGGGTTACTTCATGCGGATGAGAAAATTGACGACCGCTATATGGGCGCGTTTTGGTACATTTTCTGGTGGTCTTGGATATGTTTTGTTCCGAGATGGCGTGTTTTGTTTTTAGTTGCATTTGCATGCTGTCGTCTGCATTATACATAGCCCCTTCAACGCTCGGAAAATTTTCGTAACAAACGTGGAACAGGCACGTTGGTACATAAAATGATACATCATCAGCTTCACAAACATGACAAGGAGGTGGCTACGCGCATCGCATTCGTTCATCTAGCCTCTCCGCTCAACATAGGCCATTGACCTTGGATGACCTCATATGACCTTGCATGTCCTCACATGACCTGTTGTGGCCTCCTTATGCATGAGATTATTAGAGCAAAGTGCAAAAGTGGAAGTGTCTCATTTTCTCTTGATTTGCTAGGCTTGGAAAAGTCATTTTTGAATAAGAGAATGCTGCTTGCACCAGGAACCATACAATGGCAAGATTTGTTTGATAAATTAAATCTCTTAACACGTCCCTGAGCATACTGCTGGGCATAGGGAATTGACAATCTCGTCTGAGTGTGACTTTTCTGAAGAACTGCTGACTGACGTACACAGCAGCCCGAGTTACGGGCCCCGGGATTTGTCAATGGCAAAGGTCACGCAACTTTTCCGGGCCTTGTAATGGAACGCAGGATTTCGACAAGATGCGATTGGGCTCCTGGGAGTTCGGCAGAGGAATGTGCCAAATATTCGCAAACAAATAAAATGTGCCGAACTTTTCAAGCGCAAGCATACTTTTAGGAGTGATATTGCTGGCCGCTATTATCTGGCTTCAGCTTGCGGAGCTTGCCAATTTGAACTCACCTGGGTGGCCGGTTGAATACCATTCACTCTGGTGGGGTCAATTTCCCGCCCAAGGTCTAGAAAACTTCGCAAACTGCAGACGTCACATTTCGGGGGGGGGGGGTACCTGTATGTGGAATCACTTTTGTCAACGTTTGAGGCTCCCAGATTGTGACCTTCGGGTTGAGTACAGTCAAACAAGGTCAAACTCCAGTTGGTGCCCAAAGCGCGCCCAGACCTTCTTATGCAACCACCTTGAACCTAGAAACCCGTTCTAAGCAAAAGGCCATTGGTGTTCCTACAAGGACAATGCCTTGTTACCTTCAGAATGTCATGATTACCAAAGTTATTGGGAGATCGTTTTGAATTTTGCGTTTAAAAAAGCGTTAAGGGCTACGCTGGGTGGTATGTTC